AATCCAGTTTAAACTCCCATATGCATTATGGTCGGGGCCAAGGTGTTCCTTGTGCTATTGGGATGCACTTGATGCTTGACCCTCACAGATGCCACAGCAGTGACCACATAAGCCCAAAGAGGCAGCCACAAAATGTCAGCAGATCGGCCACTGAAAGACTCTCCAGGTGGGCCTGAAAGTCATGCTTCCTTATTTAGGGCGATGGCCCACCCTGCACCAACCTCCAGCCCAGGATCCAATCTACAGTGGTGTCCACAAAAGCAAATAAACAGATGATTGCCTGAGCTTACTCTGACAAAAACAACTGTGCCAGGCATGGTGGCGCACGCCTGTGACCCCAGCATTCAGGGAGGCTGAAGCAGGAGGATCCCCATGAGTTTAAGCCTGGGCTACATTGGGAGCTCAAGACCAGTTTAAACTATAAAGAGAGAGAGAGACCCTGTCTCAAAAACGAACCAAGTGACTGTGTACTCTCTGCTGTGCTGCTAGGCAAAGCTCTCAAGTCCCAGCTTTTTGAAAATGAATATCCAGAAATCACACTTCTGGCAGCTTCTGATCTCAACTTCTCTTTCTCTTTTGTAACAAGGTAAAGCTGCCTTTTATAAGGGGAAAGTGTAGGCGAGGAAAGAAATGCAAATGCGCAATAGATACTTAGACAGCTTTGGTGGCCCAGCCAGTGGGAGAGCCTTTGAAGGCAACTGTAAGTACGGAAAGACAGGAGCTACAGAAGGAGTAGCCCTTTGAGGCGCAGAAAACAGGCCTAAACCCAAGTTGTCCGGGAGGACCTGGCCTGCGCTCCAGGCGGATGTGAAACTTTGTTTTGAAAACCGTTTTCTTTTGAAACGGCCGGGGAGCTGCAGTTCTGGATCTAGCCACAAGATGGAGACTTTGCCTTTTAAACAGAATCTTTTTCCCATCTTACCAGGGAGGTATCAAAGGGAGCAAAGTCACAGGGTTTCCAGCAAGCAATCATCCATCTGCGCTGATCTTGGAGAAATCCGGGGCTCTGGGGCTTCTCGCTACCCTGCCTGTGGGGGCTGGAGTTCTCGGCTTCTGCTGGGCTACAGTGCCTTCTGCTTCGGGTTAGCCAATCTCTACTCATTGTCCCTGTTGAGTTCTGGGATGTTTCCATTTTTTGTTTTGTTTTATTTTATCAGACCAATTCTACCTTCTCCTATTTTCAACCAATTTCTCACCCCAGTTTTTATTTAATATTTAATTTGATTCCATATTTAAAGTCTAATCAGGAAAAGGAAACGCAGCACATCTATAAAGCAATTTGGAGAAGTACTGAGGGGCGAGTCAGCCCACTGCCCTTTTATCTTTGTGAAGACATCCTGTCTTTTCACCTCCTGACCAACCGATCAGGCTGGCCTGGGAGCATCCAGTGGGAGGGACATCGAGGGCCCTTTACAGCACACGCATGAGCATGCAGCCTCACATATACACACTCACGGACACACATACCCACCTGGCACATGCCCGCGATCACTCACATTCATATGCACAGAATTTGGCCTCGCTAACACACACCCATAATTCTCACACTCACTCCTGGACACTCATCTCTACACACATGTGCACACAAATGCCCACACGCACATCCCCTGACACATGCGAAACACACCCACAGGACCGTAGTACACATGGGCACTTCAGTGTACACATTCATGCACACATGCATGTGCAAAATACGTGAGCAGTTACAGTTTTTACATGTTACACATGTTAACACATATAAAAATAATTGGAATTTGAAGTACAGGGTTTGTGAAAACAAGTATCAAAAATTAACATGAAATGAATGTACTCAAGAACAGACAACACTCCAAGTAACTGTCCGCACAAGGTGTGGTACTTTCAGAGTTTGCAGACCTTGCTGTGGACCCAGGGCAGCCTTGGAGGATTTAAACAGCACTTGGCCTAAACAATAACCTCCTCGGCCTGTCTGACATGTCCCACTCTGTTGCTGCTACAGCAGAATGCCTGGCTCCCTATTTTTCAGGATACAAAGAAAAAATACTGCGCAAGTGTGTGCATGGGTGTGTACACGAGTATTTGTGTGGATGTGACAGTATGTGCGTTTGGTAACCACCGGCCCCAAAGAGAATGTGGCTCAAAATCACACAAGTCGAAAGGGATCCCCTTGAATTCAACTCCTGCCTTTCTTTAAACCATAATTCTTTCTAAAATAAGTGCTGTTAGGAGAGAACTCACAACAAAAGTTTCAGTACAGCGAGATCTTCCCTGACCACTTTTGAGTCATTGGGACAAAATATTATCTGATGCATTCAATTCAATGGAGGAGAGCTCTGGTTTGGCTCCTGGTTCCAAGGTAGGAAGGGCACGGTGAAAGGGTCTGGCAAAGAAAGCTGCTCATGCCATGGTCTCCAGGAAGCAGAGAGAAGGGAGGAGCTGGGGAGAGGGATATGTAATCCAGTCACGTGCTAGTGAGCACCTCTTCCAGCCAAGCCAAAGAGCACATTCGGCCACAGATAATCCACTGATGAGCACAACCCTCCATGACCCAGTCACCTTCCAAAGCCCAACCTCTGAGCACATGAGCCTCCTGAGGGACAGTCCAGATCTAAACCATAACAGACCTGAAGGTCCAGTGCTCTGGGAATGTGGCCTGAGGACAGTCCACTGTCTCCCAAACACCAGCCCTAGAGAGCCTGCATAGAACCACCTGCACTTCGGTGACACTTTCTTCACCAATTTGCATATTGCAAAATCTATTCCTATGTGCATGATTTTGTTTTCTTCTGTTGTTGTTTGTTTTTTCGGTACCAGGGGTTGAACTCCGGACCTTGGGCTTGGAGGGCAGGCGCAGCGCCACTGAGTTAAATCCCTGACCCATGATTTCGTTTCTCAATGTAGATATTTTCCCACATATCCTAAGCTACAAACTCCAGTATCTTCCAAATGTCCAGTAGTTTTGACATTTGTACAGCATCGTTTCTTAACATTTTTCGCTACTTTAAAAAACTGCTTTTTAAGTTTTCTTCTCAGAGCTTTCTCTAGAACCATGGAGACACGGGGTACCCAAGTTCTAAACATTTAATTAGAGATTCATTATCAAAGTGTTCTTTTTTAAGCCAGGTTCAGTGGGGCACCCTGGAGGCTGAGGCCGGAGAACCGTAAGTTCAAGCCCAGCCTGGGCAATTTAGAAACTTAGCAATTTAGGATACTAGAAGGAGTTTCTCATCAGGCCGTTCCAGTTGCGCTGCTCCTGATATCACTTCTCATCTGACAGAGTGATTTCTGTGTCTGATTTAAAAGCCCTCATCAAGAAGGAAGATCTGAAGAGAGACTCCAGGAGAGTCTTGTGGGGGGCTCAACATTGCCACGCTGTGCATGGGAGACCTTGAGCCAGTGGCCCAGGGCCAGATGCCGAGAAGCCTCCCTCCCTACACACTGAGGGTTTGCACCCAACCCACAGGGCACAAGTAGGCAACGAGACTCCACCTCAGGACAAACACACCTTTTGTGATCTACACACACTCTGGATCTGTACAGGGTTTCATGTCATCTCAAGCCTGGCCCACAGTTAGTCTGTGAACAACCAGGGCAACATTTATTGGGGAGAATTAGCCATGCTGTGTCAGACACGACTGATTTGATTAGGATTTTGACCCTTAAGAGGGACAAAGAATTCACCCAAGACTGTTGCAGAAGCAGTCACCCATCAAACAAGAGCACGTGAGTGCTTTGTATCGGAAGCTGGGGCCGCCCTTCCTCCTTTTCACTTGGACCCGGACCCTCACCCTCACCGTGCAGTACAACAGGCCGGTGGGCAGGGAGCCCCTTGAAGTTAATGACAGTGCCTACTCATGCATCATCCACGAATATCCGGAAGTGCAAGCATGCAGACCTGTAACCCCAACACTCTGGGAGGCTGAGGTGGGAGGATCAGAAGTGCAAGCAATTTAGGGACACTGTCCTCCAAATAAAATATATTTTGCAAAGGGCTGGGGATGTATTTTAGTGTGAAGGCTTTGGGCTAAATCCCCAGGGCTGAAAAAGAGGATAGGGGAGTGGGGAGATACAGGAAGGAAGTTACAAGTGCAAATTTCTCACTGCACACTGTGCAGAGAGCAGGGTGCTTGTGCTCGGTAGTAGACAGTTGCAGTTCAGCGTCTGGACTGCTGTGATTGGCCAATCAGTTCCGGAGGAGGAGAGAGCTACTGTGGGGCAGTTTGCTGGAGGGGTATCGCCTAGGTCAGGTCCAAGTCAGATCTCGACAGCTGTGTAAATAGCATTTGAGGCGGGACAGCCGCGGGCACTGCACCAAGGTGACTGAAGAAAGCACGGGATGCAAGGAGGTTAGCAGAGAAGGTGGTGGAGGAGGACAGTGCTGGGCCCCATCGCAGGCCAGCGCATCCTCCGCTCCTTCCCAGGAAAACCTTAAGCAGGGGCTGGGGCTCGGGGCTCAGGCGCCGGCGCTAGGGGGCGACCTGCCTGGGTCCCCTCGCCGTAAGGAAGTGAAGGGTAAAGCTTTATCATCTCAACAAATGCAGAAAACACATTTGACAACATCCAGCATCCTTGTGTGATAAACTGGGTCCCCTCGCCGTGCCCGCTCGCCAGCGCCACCAACCGGCCCCACGTGTCATTCCTTGTGATTGTTTTTCGTTTCTCTCTTTCTTTCTTGTCTCTTCCGTTTTCCACTTTTCTCTTGAACCCGAACGGCTCCATGAGAACGTGCCAGAAGCCGGCTGGGAGCGGGGTCTGGCCGCGGAGGGCTGTCTCTGCGGGCGCCGGGTCCCGCAAAGCACTGTCACGACTCTCGGCAGCAGCGGTGATTAATTAGCGGCGTGGCCGTGCTGGACGCGCGCTGGCCTCCGCATCTGCCCCGCGACAGCCGGGATCGCTCTGCAGTGTCGCTGCTCTCTCGCTCGCTCTCTCCTGAGTCTGCGGGCCAGCTGTCGTGAGAGGCGGCCCCGGAGCACAGGGCACGCGTGC